GGAATTATAAAAGAAAAAGAAAACATGGGAACCTGTACTCCAGCTATATGTCTGGGGCTTTGTTCAATAAAGATCTCTTGGTACCAGCTCTTGCTGACTTCATGGTAACAATGCTTTCTATTTTACATTGAATATTACTTTACACTATACACTGAAATAAGTATACCAAGCATAATACACGGAGCCACGATAGCCAAGATATTTGAGAACCAAACTATACATTACTACTGAAAAAAAACCCACACCTAACAGACAGCTTTGTAATGAGAAATTGATGTTATTCCTACATTATCGTTTCCAGGAAGAGACAGTTTTCCCTATAACTTTGCTAAGAGCTACATACTTACCTAAAACCCCATCAACAAGAGTGATCAGCTGCCTTAAGGGATTAATGTCATTAAATTATGACTCACGTTGGGCACATCTACACAGCAGGGCTAAAGCCAAAATGAACTACACAACTTCAGCTACGTCAACTGCATAGCTTAAGTCTGTGCGTCAGTTATTCCAAAATAACACTGCTGTGTAGACATGCTCCTTGTCAATCTAATAGCAAAAACCTGCAAAACTGTTTTACCAAAAACCAGCCCATCACTCACTATCCAATTCTGGAAAAAACTGTTTACTCTTAAATCAAAATACATAAAACTATAGATTAAAAGTGATGAGAGAATAAGTCAGTGTAAGAAGCTCACAATGCAGACTCACCTCCAATCCTACTAACAGAGATATTACACCTGGTCAAAGGGCACTGCTCTCATTAGGTCCATAAGTGGGTAAAGGGGAAACTATCTCCAATCCCAGTGTAACTTAGAATCTCACCTTACTCAGCCAAACTCTTACAATCTCAGACTGTTTCATTTCATCTAAAGGCATTTTTTACTCTCTGACTTGGAAAATAAAGCAAATATTTTATATTATGAAAGACACAGAGAATAGTTTCCAAGAATTGGACTGCTTTTTGTTCTTTAGCAGGGCCAAAACTAAGATTATGCTACCACCAACAGATGGTGCCTACGCCAGACCCCTGAGAAAAAGTTTCAGTGATTTATTCACCACTCTATTCAGCTCATGATCCATCCATAATAAAATAGCGTGGCAGGCATTCAGCTTTTCTTTGCCTTACTTAAGCCAAAACCAGCCATTTGGATGAGATATTAAGGAAACAGACACATAGAAACAAACAAAACACAAGAAGAATTGAAGTTCACCAATTCCCATTCCCTGGTGTTACAAGAAATCTATCCTGTAGAATATGCTCACCTCATCCTGTAATAGGCAACGTCATGCTCAAAGCTCCAGAGAAAGGAGGAAAAAAATAATTATGCCTCAGCCAATATGCCTGGGGTAAAATTTCCTTTCCAATCTCAAATCTGGAAATCTGTTTACTAAATGCACATAAACAAGAACTCCCATGGTCAAAGTATCTAACCCCTTTCATACTCTGGGAGAACATGAAGGCTACATCTACATTGCAGTGCTATTTTGGGATACAGGAGGTATCTCAAAATAGCTACTCCGCGTCATTTGAGCATGCCCATTATTTCAAAATATAATGGGCTTGCTAGTCCGACATCCAAGCTTCAAATAAGCTACAGTAAAACTCCAGTGATCCGGCACTCCTGATGGTCTGGCACCATCTGGAACCCGGAAGTGCTGGACAATTGGAACTGCTCTGCCTCCAGCTTCTCCGCTTGGGGAAGCCTGGGGCAGAGCAGCTGGGGTGCTGTTGGGTTGGTCCCGCTGCACTGAGGGGCGCATCCCCCCCCCACTTCACCCCAGATCCCTCATAGCCCCCCCCTTCCAATAGTCCGTCATATCTGATAATCTGTCACCCCCTGGGTCCTAAAGGTGCTGGATTATCGGAAGTTTACTGTATTTCAAAATTGACTCAAAATAACTATGCAATTTTTGTAGTTCAAATTGCATAGCTTATTTTGAGCTATGGGTGCAGTATAGACACACCCTAACAGACAAATAAACTATAGGAATTTTACAGGAGAAATTAAGAATGGCAGAGTCTCTTCCAGGTCTTGATACACCAATGTCACACTCCGGGGGAGTTGTAAAAGGGAAGAGCTTGTATTGCTCTTTCCAGCCCTTTACCAGTACTGCAGCATCTCAGAAAGCTCCAGATGGGACTAGAAGAATTAGCCATTCTAATTTATTTTATTAGCAATGGAAGGTGGAGAGGGATGAGTTTAAAATATGACCTGGAGTGAAGTGGGTGGCAAAACCCTATGAACCTCCCGCAGAAGAGATTACTGTCTTTAGACTCACAAAGGCGAGAATGCTTCTTTCCTTGCCAGACAGACTTCCTTCATGAGCAGAATGAGGAAGCCCCTAAACAGACATGCCAGGGGATAACATCCTCTCTAAAAATGGAACAAGATGTATTTCAAATGCTCTAGATCACTTACTGTACTCAAAGAATGAATCTCCCTTTGCTACCATAATATGTAATAAAATTACTTGGAGACAACACAATGCACAGGAGACATTTAAGAGAGTATCACAACAGGAAATTATTCCATAATTTGGCTCACCCAGATTAATGAGTTTCAATATCCCAGACAAAAGACAAAGCATCTAAATTTCAATCTAAATTTACCATAATTTCCAAAACTTAGACTCAGAGCCAAACTATCACTTAAGAGGTATCAATTCAACATACAGAGTTTGTTCTCAGTTGTGTTGTTTGCTTTTTTTAAATTATAATGACCTGTGAGCTGAAAAGTTTTTTGTGGTACTTAAGGTTCAGATCAATAAGTGGGATGATTCAGACTGCCTAATGGAACCCACGGATATACGAGAGCAACACAGCAATCAAAACAGACCTGAACAATTAGATTAATTTAACAATCTCAGAATACTCCTAAAACCAAAAAGTATCTTCTAAGCATCAGTGTCAGGACCTTATATTTTGTGGCAAGAGTAATCAACCTTTAATCTTTTCATTTTTGGCATTTAGGAGTTTTTTTAATCTGCATGCAATGCTAATCTGTAAATTAAGAAATAATATTATCATTGCACAGTAGACTTCTGGCACAACCTTTACTTTACATTTGCATGTTAATGTGTCCCAGCCTCAGCAGGTATTCTCAATGATTAACTCAAAGCAAAACAAATGAAATGGAAAATAAACAAAGGACGAATTTTACAGTAAGCGAGAATAGTGAAAATACAAATGTCCTCATCCAAAAATAAAGATACAGTTGAAATGGACATAATTATAAACAGGAAATAAGGCATAAAAAGCAAATGTTAGAATTTTATCATCTCATCAAAAGGAGGAAACTACAGTTTTGATTATTTTTCCATCTTCAAATTGGAGGCTTTTTGTTAATCAATATTTGAAGTATTGTACTAACTAACAAACAGTAGTAAAAATATCTCCAACTTCTTTTTAACTGAACTAAAAGGAAAGGTATTTGGCATCTAACTTTTGCTTCTAGACATAGCTGACGTGCTGAAAAGTCACAGTGACAAACTACAATACCACGCTCAGAGAACATAGTCAGGAGCATCAGTAAGCCAAAAGATGTCTACTATTGTTGAGAAACAAGTAACACACAAATATATTGGAACTGAAATTAAAGGCTAACAAAGAATTGTATATGTGCCCCAATCCAGGCACATAAAGATCTCCTGTTTATTTGGTTTCTGTTAAGAAAAAAGACAAGAGAGAATTTGCATATCTTCTTCCAATCTCACTTTGGAAAGCAGAATTTTCAAAAATGAAAGTAGTCGGGATGTGGCTTTTTTGGCAATCCCTCCCTTTTTTCAAAAAGCCGTGTAAACCTCATTTTTTTAAGGAAAAAAAATTGTCAAAAAAAGGGGGAGTTGCCGAAAAAGCCGCGTCCCAACTACTTTCACTTTCGAAAGTGAGCTCGGAAGAAGATATGCAAATTCCCATGGGAATTTGCATATCCTCTTTTGAATCTTCCATGTAGTCTAGATGAGCCCTAACACTATCTGCTCAGGGAGGCAGGAAAAATGGTAACATGTGGAATGGTCACGGGCCAAAGAAATAAGTCTTTCCCCTGCAGCAATATCAGAAACAGCCATGTACATCATTGTAAGCAAAGAGCACAAATAAATATCACTGTGGGCAAAACAACCTGAAGGTCTCATTACACAAGCCAAAAAAAACTTCAATTAGAATAATTTAAGTTTATACTGTACATTCAGATAAGGAATACATATGCATATGGCCAGCTAAAAGTACTACTAGTCATCTTAAAGTATCAGATTGAGTGCAATCACAGTATTAAGAGGAGAAACGAATCTTTGTAGTCCTCAGGCACAGTATAAAGAGAGCTCTCTCAAAGAAAAGACTCATAATAGAAGAAAAGCATGGACCAACAATTTGACAAACAGAACAACCTTGTTTTTTCAAGAGAAACTTCTCAGAGAGAAACCATGGGGCTTTGCTTCCTCATGTTAGGGGCACGGGGGGAGAAAGATGATTATGAAATAATACTTGCACTTTTCTGAGAAAGAATGCACATCTTTCTGTTTTCATTTCCAAATCCTACTGCAGTCTCATGGCACCCTCAGAGATTATTCACTTACTGTCTTGCATGGTGAGCAAAGAACAGGACTAGAAATAGAGTGATGAAGTTGACCTATTTTAAAAAGACATAGAGGTGTTTTCCCCAAGTGACCAAAAGCATAGCAGGTGTCTCTCAAACACCAGTAAGGACTATGTATGTTACTCATATGCAGAGGTGAAAGTATCAAGATGCACCCTGTTATGCAGTTCTTGCAAGAACTGGCTGAGCTGCGGCAAAAGCCAACAGGAAGCTATATACAGAGCTGGCAGAGACATGGATTACAATAGAACAGCACCTGTAAGAAATCTTAAGTTACTTTTCGTTGATGCTTATATGCTGCCTGTCGTTGCTGTTTCTTTCTCTCTCAATTGTGAACTCTTTAAATACTACTAAAATATTGGAGGAACAGGGAATGAGCATTGGTGAGGGTTTTTTTCTTTTTACCTGGCATTGGCTGCTTTAAGGTCACAGAAGTGCGTGAGTAAAGTTTTCACTACATCGTTGCAGACAACCTTAACTATATCAATGTGACTTAGCCTCTGTCGCAGCTGCTTGGCAACTTCCCAAAAATCTTCAGATAGCAGGTGGTACAGCTGTCCTTCATCTTTGCTGAGATGCCCATACCAGGACAGAATGTAATCTCTGTAGCTGTAGTCAAACACTAAAAGAAGAAACAAAACAATGAATAGCAGCAGCTAATATGGAGAAAACACAAAAGGATAACACAAAAACAAGTTGCCTAGTTTCTACTTTGGGTTTTAAATACTCTCTCCAACGAAAAAAGAAAGAGTAACAATGCTATCCTAAAGAAATCTGATGCTGAGAGATTACCAGATTACCCCAAGTGGATTTGGTCAGACAAGTTACTGGTCAAACAGATACTTGCATCAAAAATATGATTATATGAACTAATAAATTATCTGCATCTCCAAAGTCTGCTGAGGACCGAAGCAATTTGTTCTTAATATTTACCTCTAAACAACCTTGATTTCAAAGACATGTAGAGGCAGCATTTTTTCCACCCCAAATGGAAGGACAGTGATATTAAACCGCATTATAAGATCAAAGTAGTTTCAAAAAGGAAAGCACTATTAGAGAATTTTAAAGAGACACACCATAAACTTGGAGGAGAACGTAATTCCATAAATTTGGACTATAGTTATAAGTAATAGCTAAGATTATTATAAATGAAAGTAGTTAGGGAAAAAATTTTATTTGTCAGTATTTTGTACGCAGGGGTGGGCAAAGGCCTCTCAGCAGTCCAGATCCAGCCCGCCTAGGACTTTGATCTGGTCTGCAAGGCAGTTCCAGGCCCCACCTCCTACCGTGTTGCCTTGGAGTGGGAGAGGGGCGCGAGCCCTTCTAACTGATTCTATTTAAAGGGCTTGCATCTCTTGCTCCCTAGCAACGTGCAAGAGGCACCAGGAGCTGTGAGCTCTTTTAAGTGCTTCTATTTAAAGGGCTGGTGCCTTCCCTGAACCTGTCAGGTAACAGCGTTGTCTAGCAGCCACAGGGAACACGAGAGCCCTTTAAATAGAAACAGCTGAAAGGGCATGCAGCTCCCCACACCTCTAGCACATTGCCAGAGACATGTGATCCCTTTCAACTGTTTCTATTTAAAGGGCTCTGGGTTCCCACGGCTGCTAGACAATGCTGCCTGACAAGTGCCAGGAAGGCACAAGCCCTTTAAATAGAAGCACTTAAAAGGACTTGCATCTCTTTTTCCCTATCAACATGCTAGAGGCGTGGGGAGCTGCATGCCCTTTCAGCTGCCAATTTGACTAGATTGAAACATTTCAGGAGAAATCATCTTTTAGTAAAAATTTTATCAAAAATATCCAAGTGCTTTATTTTAATATCAGTCAAAACAAAGGCGTTTCATAAGATCACTTCAATATTTCCAAAACTACATTTTCTGGAAATTTTGTTTTACAAGAAACTTTTGACTTTTTTGTTCTGATTTGGGATGAAGGAAATTTTGAAATGCCAGAATTTCCCATTGCAAAGAATGTCAGAGTTTTAACCAGCTCTATTTAATAGGTTTTTCAATCTGAGCATTCTATTGTGATGGGCTCCCCACCAACGTGTCCCTGGAACTGGGATACCGCTGAGCCTTCTGACCCACAAATCTGGGTTCACATTGTGCTCCAGTGACAAATTGCACACATGTTCCCAGTCTGACACTTCCACAAGCATGCAAACAGGTAGGGATACGCCCAGCTGCAGTTACATGCAAGCTCTCTCCATGGACCAACAATAGAAAGGCTACAGTCAAGGCAACTCCCAGTTCCCTAGACACATACCCCTTCTAGAGTGTTTGCCCAAAATTATACCATCTTCCATGAACAGCGAGCTCTTAAGCATAAGCTCATAAAGTTCACCCCTCAATGTGGTGAGGAATATGCAACAGCTTTTGCCCCTTGAGCTACAATTTCCACACACTTCACTTCAAACTGCTTTAGATTAAAACATAAAATAAATGTCTTAACTACAAAAGAGAGATTCAGTTATTATAAGGGATAGCAAACAGATCAAAGCAGACTACCTAGCAAATAAACAAAACCACAACCTAAGCTTAATATACTAGATAAGGTGAGAATCTGCTATACATATCCAATCTAACTAATGGTATAGGCAAACTATTCTTAAAGGGAAAACTCCACTTGCTTTACAGTTTGGATTCCCCAGATCTTTCAAATACACACTAAAAATCCCTTTAGCCTGGGTCCAATACTTCTTCAAGTTCAGTCTTTGTTTCTCAGGTGTTTCCAAGAGTCTTTTTGTGTGGTGAGTGAAGACCCAGACAATGCTTTATAGATCTTTTGCATATGAGACTCCTTTATTTCAAAACTTAGTTCCCAGACAGATTTGTGGAAAAATACTGACATCCCAAGATGGCATGTTGTCTAGGCACCTGTGCTTGCAGTGTTATAGCAGCAACTGCTTATAGACTGGCCAAAACACCCACAGGAAGGTCAAGTTATTCCATAGTCCATTGTTTTTGCTGATGGCAATCCGCCCAGTCTGGTTTCTTTATTGTTCAAAGAATCATAGACTCACAGAATACAAGAACAGGAAGGGACCTTGAAAAGTCATCAAGTCCAGTGCCCTGACCTCACGGAAGGATCAAGCACAGACTACATCGACCCTGATAAATGTCTATCCAACCTGCTCTTAAGTATCTCCAGTGATGGAGACTCCACAACCTCCCTAGGCAATTTATTCTAGGGATATAATAGTATAGTTGACTAACTGATAAACAATAAGCAAAAGATTGTAGATTAATGCTATAAACTTCACACGTTTTCTCCCCTCCACCCCTTTCCAGTAAATTTTTAGCAGGCTGGCCAGCAGCCCATCTCCATCCCAGCCTGGACTGGGTCCTGGACCTACGCCCACTGCGGCTCTGCATTTAAAGTGTATTAAGAGTCAAATGGGCAGGCAGCCCAACTCAGTTCTGGCTCATGCTGGGTCCAGGAGCTCAGACTGCTCCTCCCCGGACATGGGCTGCCCAGGGACAATAGAATAATTGACTAACTGATAAGAATTCATGAGGTTAATTGACTATTCTATTAACTGATATTTAACATCCCTAATTTATTCCAATGTTTAACCACCCTAACTGTTAGGAATTTTTTCCTAATGTCCTCAGTGGCCAAGGAGAACAATCAAGTATTCTTGACTAGTACATCAAATACAACAAAAATAAAATAAAAAACAGAAAGCAAGGAAGTTATTACAGTGAAGACTGCCTAAAACACTGACTAAAGAGACTGACAGCAACAGTTGCTCAACGATGGAGGCCTACTGAAGACGGTGATTAAGAATGGTACTCTGTACATCTGGGCATCATTTGTGGTAATATAATGCAGTGGTCCCCAACCTTTTGAGGTTGTCGGGCACCAGGGGGCGTGGCCGTTCGCCCGCTGGGCGCCAGGGGGCGGGAACACTTGAGCGCCCAAGGGCGTCCCCCCATAGCCGCATGCCCGGGGCCGGGGCCCCCCCATAGCCACGCGCCCGGGGCCGGTGCCCC